AAAAAAAAAAAAAAAAAAAAAAAGTTTTGACATCACGTGGTTAGTCTGCCCCAAATCTAAGACAAAAGGAGGGTACACATTATTTTCAAAGAATAATTGTTTTTTTAGCTATTCCTGGCTCAATAAAGATACAATTTAAGGTTAAGATATCTATTAAATTCTTTATTCCATTTTATTAACATGTAGTACAGCCTTAAAAATAAAGTTGATATGACACTCCGCCCTACTTAACCCTCTTCACTGTTAATTTTTTGTTTGTTTTTTTCGTGGTACTGGGAATTGAACCCAGGGCCTCTGCACTGAGTTACATTCCCAGCCCATTTTTTGAGTTGAGGTTCTTGTTAAGTGGCTAAGTTGTTCAGGCTGCATTAGAATATGCAATCCTCCTTCAGCCTACTAGGATGCCCAGCTTTCTCAACTATAATTTTAAGCCCAAACTGTAATGTGTATTTAATGGTAAAGAACCAGAAATAGAACACAGTCAAATACTTTTACTTACTCAATTCAGGGAGTTCTAATTGCACTTTTTTTATATTTGAAAAATTGAGATGTGGATATTTCTTTAAGACAATGGTTTTCCTTTAATTTGTGAATTTATTCAATTTTTAGGCTGTAATCTTTTAATCTTCAACTTTTCCACTTGAAAAAGCTTCCTTTATGGAATGCTAGCATATCACCAAGTTTGTTCACCAGCTCATATTATATGAATTCTAAAATTATCATGGCTACATATTGTGGCTCACATCTGCAATCTAGCACTTTGAGAGGCTGAGGCAGGAGGATTCCAAGTTCCAGACCAGCCTGGGCAATAATAATGAGACCCTGTTCCAAAATTAAGAAATATAAAAAGGGCTAGGGGTACAATGTAATTTGAAAACCCAGTATCACAAAAATTTTTTAAAGATTATATTTGTAATTTCTTTTTACACAAATTCCCCTGTGGCCAATTTTGTATAAGACTGAAACGTACATACTCTTGTCTTTTACCCTGTTTATATCCTTATATGTAATCCCTCACTGGTAAGGTCACCATAATTAGAGGGCTAAATTGAGAACTGATGAGGAAAAAAATGAACTGGTAGTTAAGAGAAGAGGGGTTCGTCTAGGTCCCAGCTGTATAATCCCAAACAAATTACCTTCTCTTCCTGGAGTTTTGTGTCTGGAAGTAGCTGGACTCAAGGATTCCAACTTCTAGTCCTTTAATATTTTTATGTTCTGAATCAGCAGACTTTTTCTTTTTTTTAAGTGCTAGAGATTGAACCCAGGGCTTCACACATGCTAGGCAAACACTCCATCACTGAGCTATATCTATGCCCCAATTTCATGTTCTTAAAGGTAGTTTAGGTCCTACTGTGGTAGCAAAAGAGCAATGTGCATACATAACCTGGAGGGAACCCCCTTAGTACCTATGGAGAACTTTTTCAATCTACTCATGCCACTCTAGTCGGACAAACTTCCGCTCTCATCCTCCATAACTGAACACTCACTATATGCCTTGCACTGAAGTGATGGAGAGATATGGACAATTTTTGCAAAAGCAGCTCCTAAACCTTAAGGATTTTTAAGACAAAGTAACACTTGCCCAAACAGAAAGGATTAAGATGGACATACCAAATAAGAACCTTTACAATGCCATGTCTAATTCTCTGTACTTATATACCAAGCCATCTTTCTGTAACCTCCATTAAAACTCCCTCTAAATAGTGGGAAAGTACAGTAAAAGGTACACACCATTTTTTTAAATTAAAAGAATGTCATGCATTCCATGTTAGCAACAGAGAAAAAGAGCAATAGACCATGAAAAAACGCTCAATATCAATCCTAATGCCCCATTAGAACACAGAAGATCTGCAGTATTAGAGAACAGAAAAGGACTACCTATATAAAATCAGGCACTCCAAACATTTGGCAAACACAAATCTTTAAGTAGAGGTTATGCAAAATACTCAAAAATATAACCCTCCAACACTGAGATGTGCTGGGCTACCTCTGTTCATTTAGGAGAGAAAAATTCAAGTCTTGGTAAATCAGATTAAAACAGGCCTAATAAATATTTTGGTAATCAGTATACCAATAAGCCCCATTGCTATGAAAGTAGTTGATAGTTATTAACTTTTTAGGCTTACAAACGATTTATGCAATTTCTGAAATCTATAAAGAAGCCGAAATGCTTAAGAAATAACATCTAACAGAAGCCCTTAATTATGATATCCTGCTATTCTAAAGTTTTGGATTTCTGTTGCCTTTTTAAAAAACAGTAAGTGCTCCAAACTGTCTGAATTTTTTTCCTTTTCCATTTGATACTCCTCATTGTTTAAACCAAGCCTAGAAGAGAAGCATTTGGCTTATTTGTGATTGTTATAATTTGGCATTCTGAGGCTTGTTATACTGACTGATCATGATCTACTTTATCTCTTCATCTCTCAGCACATCATAACAAGGGCTTCTCCATGTCATTCAGTTAAATAACTGTCTCAGTGGTAGAATTTGCAGGATATTATACTCTTACCACAAAGGTTCTGAAATTGGGCCAGGAGCTCTTCTATTTTCTTTGCTGTGCTGCCAAGCTGATTTTCAGAAGAGGAATTAAAAACCCTGAGACATTTCTGAAGCATAGTCACCAGTTCATCTTTTGCCAACATCCTAGAAAAGAATCAGTGAAAGGAGATTAACAGGAAAATTAATATACCTAAAAACATTTCTTACATATTAAATGTTTCTGCTCAAGACTGTCCAAACTCTTCATTAGTAGTCACCAACTTTCTTTGGTAGAAACTCTCCTCAATTATATGACATTAAGAAGTATTTTTGAAGATATCTCACTATAAAGCTTAGTTTAGAAAATATACAAATATCTGAGTTCACAGCCCAGCTCTGGCACTTACTATAATGTCTTGTTTATAAAATGGAAATAACAACTAATGTAGTTCACAGTTGAGATGGAGACTTAAAAATTAAATGAGAAGATGCAGCTGAAGAATCCAGTACAGTGCTTACCACAAAATTTTAGGTTAGTTTACTTTTCTTTCTGATCTAAATATAAACAGTAGACAAATGTCTACCAAGAATATAACATGCTAAATGCAAGTTTAAAAGGACCAAAAATGTAAGTATCATAATCATTTTTAATTATTACCATTTATACTAGTTTGTGTCTCTTTAATAAACATCAACCAGTAAATGCAATGAATTTCAAACAGGGCTGGCAATTCTGCTTGTTATTTATAGCACACACAGAGTGGCTCAATAGTGCATTCAGGGCCACACAGAAAATCTTTATTAGAAATAGAAACAACACAGATACTGCAAAATTAGGACCCTGTTCTCAGAGGCATTACTTTCAGGATCTCTCCATTAAGATTATACTCAATAACAACATCAAATGGAATCAGGGTCAATATTGGTAATTATTATTTGGTGGCATCACACAGATGTATAAATTTTTAAGACTACAATAGTTATGTTTTAACATTAAACATGAAGAAATAATATATTAAAATCAGAATAGGGTATTCTATATATTATTAAACAACTAATTTAAGTGTGACATTTTGGGGGGGTACTGGGGATCGAACTCGGGCCGTTGCACTTTCAAGGCAGGCAGCGAAACCACTGAGCTAATCCCCAGCCCAAGTGTGACATATTTTAATAAAACAAAATTTGGTTAAATTATTAATATTAGTAAATTAGGAAAAAGACATAAAATAGATGAAACTATTTCTTAATACAAATTAACCAGTTACTTCAACCAAAATTTAAACTTACAAAACAAAAAGCTTACAGCCAGGAAATACAGAAGCTAGTAATGTATGCAAAAAGTAAAATTTTCCCTGGTATTAAGAAAAAGTATAAAATCTTCTCTTCCTATAGTAATTATCTAATATGTCATGTTTATCTGTGGATAAAAGGCAGCTAACAGGTCAAAGAATAATAAGCTAAGATATTTCATTCTTGATAACATCTGAGATTAAAATTTCTGGCATTTATTGCCCTGTGGAATTAATTGTTAGGGGAGTTAAATAAAAGTCACCTGCACTGGAATAATCTGTTAGCCTCACTCAAGTAGACAGGACCAGCAACTGCAGTGGCTTACTTGGAGGAAGAAGAGGCAATGACTGTGGAAGCTCTAATGCACACTAGTAGCCCACTAAGAATTAGCTTCTGGGCTACAAGCAGCCACATTTTGTATCCATTTTGAGCTACAAATAATGGAATCTCAAGGAAGGTCAAGTGTAGCCCCCTCAAAAGGCCACATAAGTTATGTCACATAACTTTGAAACTAAACTTTGTTAGTCATAACTTCTAATGTGATATTTTATTGGAGGAGACAGCTTTTACCTCACATGTAAACTTACAGGGATTCACACAGTTATTATTCCTTTAATTAGCCAAAAATTATGTTCATATGGTTTCCAGAGTAGTAAAAGATTTTACACTTTTCTAAAGTAATCCCTGATTTCATGTAAAAAAAGACGATAAAAAGCTGATTAGAAATAATAACCCAGTAAAATCATTCATTAAATTTTTTCCAGTAAAATTACATAACCACAGAACCAACAAAGATGCCTATCATCATCATTATTCAACATCATTCTAGGCTGTAGTCACAACAATAAAGAACTTAACTGACATTGTGAAATGGGAAGAAAAGGGCTAAAGGTATAGGGAAAGCGGGAAGGGTAGGGGAAAGTTAATAAGGGAAAAAATATGAGAAAATGAAAAAATGGAAATAAAGTGTTTGTAAATGGGGAGGGGAAAAGGGGGTGAAGGGAAGGCAGGGACAAGGGGAAAAAATGAGAACCAAGACCACCTGTCATGTAAAGGTACAAGATCTCAATAATGAATGTAACTACTGTATACCTAAAATGTACCAATGAAGTCAATAAAAGAAAAGAAAAAAAAATCTAAGGACTGTAAAAATATTAGAATAAAGGAACATGTAAATATACATATGATCATGTGAATGTAAGATAAACGTGTGTGTATGTGTAAATACATCCCTACACGTGTTATGAACAAATAATGGAAAAAACAGCATTTTAAAATGTTAACAAAGACAATGGTGCCAGGGGAGGCTGTGTTTTGATTTTCTCTGCAGGCTTCATTTGTGTTTTCATTCTTTGTGGACATGAAATATAACCTAGCAAGTATATCAACATCTAGATCTAGAGGAAAAGAGAAAACAAGATTCTTCTCAACTTGTTAAGCTTTTGGTTGCTGAGCAACCCAGTGTTGAACAAGAGAGGAGAAACCAAATGAATGTTAGGCTATTACAGGTGGGAGACAAACGAAGTACAAAGAGATGATCTTGATGTCAAGGCAGAGTCTGTGTGAGACCTAGTGCCTGCTCAAGTGCCAGAAGTGGACGAAAGGCAATCACAGGCCTAAATAAAGACTAACCAAAACAATGCAAGCTGGTCTTAAATTTTCAATAAAGTTTTACTGTTTTCTCAAGAAAAGCAACAGAAACTACAGAACACAAAATATAGCAAATGTGTAATACCTATTAAAAATATGAAAGTCCTAACTAAAAGAACAGTTTAAGTTCTACTATTCAATATTGTGAAGATACAAACCATTCCAAATTAATCTATACTTCTAGTACCTTGTAAAACAAAATTCCAATGGATATATTTTAAAATCAAATACAATTATTCAAAAATGTATCTAGGAAAATAATTATTTCTGAAAAAGAGAAACAGTGTATATGTACTTCAGTGAATGTAGTGGGGCTATCAATGTACCGAAAAGTGTAAATTAGTAATTAAAATCAGATAGTACTTACCTAGATAAGGACAGACAGGTAAATAAGAGAATACTAATCCAGAAAGAGATAAAGGTATACATGGAAGTTTGTTATATGATAGAGGTGAGTGTTAAATCAGTGTGGGGGGGGGGCCTAGGTATTAGAATAACTATTCTGAAACAAAACCAAATAAAATAAAACAACCAGATCACACTATCTCACATTATATACACAAATATATTTCAGACAGAACAAAAAACCATAAAATAAAACAACCAGATCACACTATCTCACATTATATACACAAATATATTTCAGACAGATAAAACTGTGAGAATGGTGTGGGAAGTGGAAAAAGAATAAGCCTACCAATCAGAAAATACTAGAAGAAAGCAAAGGAAGATATTTAAGCCTGGTAATATCCAGCAACAGCAAGACTACAAGGAAACACTGAAATACTGTTGGGGTGGGTGTATAGCAGTATAATTAATTGTCTTTACATTTTAGACTCAGAAAGTCTACATCTGTGTATTCATTTTTTTGGAAATAATTATTCAAATGTATAAACATATAAGCTTGTGATTACTGTTTGTGATAGTGCAGAATCAGAAACAACCCTAATATATATCAAATAAAGGTCTGATTAAATAAAATGTTATATTTTCAAACTATGGGATATCAGCTGGGTGTAGTGTAGTGATAACACACCTATAATCCCAGCACTCTGGAAAGCTGAAGCAGGAGGATTGGAAGTTTGAGTCCAGCCTGGGTAATTCAGTGACACCTTATCTCAGAATGAATAATAAAAGGGGATAAAGCTCAGTGAGAAGGCCTTGTGTTCAACCCCATGACCCACCCACCTCAAATAAACAAAGAAAGAAAAAAAAAGGGTATTTATGATGAGGCTAAACAAGAAGGTACAATAATATGGAATATTAACGATGGCTAACATTTACCTGTCTATATATGTATCACATGTCACATGATACAATATTTTTTTAGGTAGCTACTATTATTATTCCTGTGTTAAAGATGAGAAAACACAGAGAATTTAACTGATTTTTCTAGGGTCCTAAAGCTTAGTAAAGCTGGAATTTCATCCTGGACAATTTGGTTTACCATGCATGTTCTTACCAACCATGCTGTATTGCATTTCAAAGCACAGTATTCATGGTAGAATATTAGGTAGAGACAGACAGACAGACAGACAGACACACACACACACACACACACACACTACCATGACAAAAACAAAACACAAAAAGCAAAATATGGAAATCATGGGATGCACATTAAATCACAGTATGAGTTTAAAAAAATATATCGGGACCTGGAAAAAAATCTAAAATACAAAGTGCTAATAGTGCACGAATGTTTTTCAAAGTTATAAGAAGTAATGTCAGAAAAATACTGTTATATTCTCATGTACCTTAGTATTAAAGTGACTAAAGCAAGCACTTTGGATAAACCAAGTCTAACTGAACAAAATTACTTGAAAACAATTAAAACTTTAAAAAGTGTAATTCATTCCAATCCATTTGTTACACATGTCTATAATCCTAGCACTCAGGAGGCCAAGGCAAGAGGTACACCATGAGTTTGAGGCTAACCTGTGCTACACAGTGAGTTCAAGGCCATCCTGAACCAGCAAGACCTTGACTCCAAAAGAAAGACACTTAATTTTGTTACAAATAGTAATTCAGATAAACACAAACAAAATTAAGGATTGAGAATGGCTACTAAACTAGCATTTTTTATATTGGGTTTTCAAAATGGGGTTTCAGACACTTAGTCATAAAAACCATCCAATCAATCATTCAAGAGACATGTACTGAATGCCTCTTATACAGGAGGCACCATTCTGGATATCTGAGGTATACTTTGATTAAAAAAAAAAATCGCTTTCCTCATAGAACTTACATTCTAGCTAGGAGTGGGAGAGGCACAGACAAATATTGCCTACAGCATATGTTTAAAATTGATACGTGTTATGGAAAAAATATAACTGGCCAATCCATGGCTCTCACAAGAGATTTTCTGACTATGAGTTCTCAAGTTTCATGCACCATCACTATCAGGCAACTTTGTACTCAAAACTCAAGTTTTTAAATTAAATGAATCATATCATTGAAGACCAGAAGAAAACAAAATAAAAAGACCAGTGAAAAAGTACTGAGATTATCTTTTTCAAAGACTAATAAAGCAACCATGTATGATTGTAACAATGAAACAAAAACCAAAAGGTGTAACTTCCCTTAGTCTAAAAATAGTTCACATTAGATGCTACTTCCTGAAGAAGCTGCCCAAACTCAAAAAGGGAGATTTACCAACCAGACTACTGGATCCCTTAGCACTCATTACAGCTCTTACTACTTTATTGTATTTATCTACTTATCTGACTAAATCTCTCACTTGATTTAAATTCTCTGTAGGTAAGGACTACAGCAGTAGTGTTGAACCTATGGCATGGCTGTTGTTTTTCTTTTAAGAAAAAGATGTTAATGTATGAGTTGTTTTTTCTGAAATATTCAGGTTTATTTTACAGTGTTGGCACTTGGTGATAAATAAGTGGGTTTTGAGTTACACTTTGGGCAGAGGTCTCTAAAAGGTTCGCTATCATCGGACAAGGGTCATCACTGGTCATCAGATCAGTGGCTCAATAAATCAAGCATTAAGGCATTTCTGACTTTGTGATGATAAGGAATTCAATGACCTCAGGCCTTAGCATAGTTTAACTAAGGAGAATAGTTCTTAAACTGGTTTGTATGGGTGAATTTTGCCTTTTGTGAAACACTATGTCCATTTAAGGAATATTGTATTAAATTTTAACACATTTAACACATTTTAATACATTTAACATTGCGTTAAAATAAATTTAAGTCTATCATATGGTTACAAACAACTTTAATAAAATACACTGTAACATATCTATTGATATACTTTAAAAATACAACCTTGAGTTTATAAGAAAGAAAAAAGTTATCAAACCTGTTTAGTCAGTTATTTCTAAATTTTAAAAATTAGCATTTTTTGTCAAGTGTGGTGGTTTTACAACTCCAGTAGTAGTAGTCCCAGCTACTTGGGAGGCTGGGACAGGAGGAACACAATTTTCCGGCCAGCCAGTCTCAAAATAAAAAACAAAAGGGCTGGGGATGTGACTCAGTGTTTAGAGCACCACTGACTTTGATCCTTAGTATTGCAATCAATCAATATTTCTTACCTGTATATTTATTTATTTTACTAGTAAAAAATTAATAGTGGCACTAAATGCTCAATAAAAAAAACTTAACATAAAAATTCAGATCTTTTTTTCCTGTCTAGTGAGATAAAAACTATTGTTCACTAATAAGAGATTATCTCAATGCAGTTTTGGAACCAATTGAGACCAACTGATTAAAGCCATCCAGTTTTCTCATGGTTAAAAAAAATTCCCCTTTTCTCCCCCCTCAAAAAAATTTTAAACTGTTTTTTTATCCCCTCTATTTTCTAGAAGCTATTTCTTTTTTTTGCGGGGGGGTTGAGACAGGGTCTATGTAGCCCAGACTGGTCTTGAACTGAAGCGATCTTCCTGCCTCAGCCTCCTGAGTGCTGGGATTACAGGCATGCACCACCATGCCTGGTTTAGAAGCTATTTCTTAAGCATAATCCCAGGACCATTTTTCTGAATATACTAGAATGTTTGTTAAATGTAGGTTTATGATGACCACGTGTATTATTAATCTCTGTACTATTTCTGTCAGAAAACACTTCATGCTGAGTGCTTTATAAAGAAAAGAGGTCTACCTGGCTCACGGATTTGGAGGATGAAAGTCCATGATTTGACAGCCCTATTAGTTTAGTCTCTGGTAAGGGTTCCTTGCCTGCACCCCAACTTGGTAGAGGTATCATAGTTAGACAGGAAGCCAGACAGCGGGGAGGGACCAATCTTGCTTTTGTGTAACAACACATTCTCAGGAGAAGTAACACTCTATAAAACCTCCACTAATCCTGAAGACGGTGTCCCCAATGATCTAATAACCTTGCATTAAGCTCTATATCCTAAAGGTTCTGCCATTGCTTAATAATACCACAATGGGGACCAAGCTTCCAAGGCATGAAACGTTGGGGGACAAACCACAGCACCATCACGTCTGGTTTCTCATCAGTATCACAGTGTCTACTTTCATTTATAAGTCTACATACACCCTTTGCTGAGATGATGTATATAGGTTAGGGTTCTCTAGAGGAACAAGATCAACAGAAAATGTAGATATAACTACTGAAAGAGAAGGGACTGTTACATTTTCAGTTGCATGCAGGATAGTCATATTGTGCTAGGTGGAATTATGAAGCAGTTATCACCTTTATTTGGAGATTAACTGGTTGAAGGAGATGTGCTTGGTTATGAGGTTGACAGGGAAGAGATGTCATGGTTAGGGTGGGGTGTCAACTTGCTGGCTTTGGGATATGTATGCCCCAGAGACTCATGGAGCATACTCTCTTCATACAGTAACAATATGTGACCAAATAATCACAGGTTTTCCTTTAAAAACTGTTAAGTTCAAAAACAAGGTAACACCAGCGGAGGAATGGATGTTACTACATTAAAAATACCATCAGCTATAAGCATGAATTCAAGATATTTACAAATATTCTTAGACACAACATGGCTACTTATGAAACTTTTTGGCAAAGCAGAGTTCTGGAGGAAGGTGCTATTGACAAAAAAAGAAAAGGAAACAAAAAATTACCTCAGCAGCTGCAAGGCTGATACATACTCCTCTGAATCCCATATGTTCTTTTCTAAACATGTGCAGTACAACTCTCTGATCTGTAAGTGAACATTTGTGAGAAAAATGAAACACTAAACTGGCAAAATCATATACAGTCAACACTCAAAAATGTAATGCTATTAAAAACAACCATGGTAGTGCATGCCTATAATACACCACTCAGGTGGATGAGCCAGGAGGATCACTGCAAGTTCGAGAGCAGCCTAGGTGACACAGTGAGTTTAAGGTCAGCCTGAAGTTGATAGCGAGACTTTTTTTTTTTGGTACCGGGAATCAAACTCAGGACCTTTCGCTTGCAAGGCAGGCAGTGGAACCACTGAGCTAAATCCCTGGCCCCAACAGTGCAACTCAAAAAACAAAAATAAAACAAAACAAAACAACAACAACAAAAAAACCCAAGGGCTAGGATTTATTTAGCTCAGTGGTTCTGCCGTCGCAAGCCTAAAGTCCTGAGTTCGCTCTCCAGTGCCAAAATAAAAACAACAACAAAAATCAAACCAAAATAAAAGTCACACCCATATTCTTTAGATGATAATAATGCTTGCTTCGACAGCACATATGCTAAAATTTAGAGGACAACAGGCTTGGAATGTATCACACAGTTGACATTGTAAGTATATAACTTACATAAAAGTAAAATGAGACTATATTGGGATTAACTGATATTACCAGCCACTCTGTAGCAAGAAAATGATTAAACTGTAAGGAGGGTGTTTACTGAATGTCCAATGGCAGGCATTGTCTCAGAAATAAATCACTGTTATACACTTATATTTGTTCTCTAAAACTCGGAGTTATGATCTGCTAATTAGGAATTCTTCCATTATCAGCTACTCTAAGATGGTCCACAGGGTCAGTTGAGCATGTCTCCTTTAATTCTTGGTGTAATGCAAACTTAACCAGTAAGCATTCTCAATCAGATTTCTTTTTTTAGATCCCTACTAAGAGTACAGGCTCTCTCAATAAGTGAAAAGGAAATGTTAAACAAGAAAGGTTTAAGTGCTTTGGTACAAATACACTGTAGGGGGAAACTATCACTGTAATTCATGTAGCTATTTCTAGCTGTGGCCATCAGAACAAAATAGACTTGTTTCAATTACCAGTTCTGTATATAGCTGGAATGGATTGTTCTCTTATTGTAAGAATTGGATCTATTTCAAATTCTAATGCCTGACTGCTGCAGAAATCAAAGCCAGAAAGTACTATTCTTCCTACTTTGCAGATTCCAAATGAGGAAGTTTTATTTATTATATATTAATTATTTATTTACCTGTCGACCTAGTGGGTACTTGGGAAGAGAACTGGTGAAATTATGAAGACATCGCAAAACCAGGAAATAATTCACATGGTAAATATGCAGATCTTCTAGTAATGATTGTGTCTCTTCCTAAAAATCACATGATATACTGTTAATACGTAAAGCAGTAAAATCAAATAACAAAATCTACTTCATGGATATATATCTAATTTCTAGAAAACTGACAAAAGGATTCATAGTTATAAAACAGATGCTTTAATTCATAAAAATTTGAAATACCCCCAGGATAAAACTGAGTATCAAGTCTGGTGATATTTTATACACATCAAATTTTTTACTGTAATTTAACCTCATTAAATATCTCCAGCACTGCTACAGTACCTTGACCCCAAAATTAGAAGTGCACAAGAGAGCAGCTTATCATATACCTGCCTGTGTCAGTCACCTGGTACATGCTACAGGGAAAGGAAGGGCCACTACTCTCTGCCTTACTGGCATTAGAACTGTACCAATATAATCAATCAATAGTTGCTGAAGGTCTGCTTATGATTTCCTAAAGTTGTACTGCTTGAGTGTGTCTGGAGGGGAAAAAAAGAAACTGGAAGAAACGCAGTTGATTCTGATTAAATCACTACCTCTCAATGAGCCTCTCCAATACTGGTTTTACTCAATTTACTACTTGAGACAAGAAAAATGAAAAGCAGAAATCTAAGGACAACAGGTTTAATAGTTTACAATCCAGCGAGGACATTATGAGGCATAGTGTCTTAAAAAACCCTGGTGGACTACGCCTGCAAATCAGTTTCAAAAGGTCCATGGCAGGGACGGTATGCTTTATATAGTATTCTGAAATGGTTTAGAAATTATAATAAACCATAATCCTATAAAGCATTTTCCAGGTTTAATTCCTTTTATAACTGCTTACTTCTTAAAAACATTATTATCTGTAGCATGGTCTTCACATTTTTTCTCCTTTAAGAAGTCAAATAAAGGATTTTATGATAGGCCAGTGGAGGCAAACCTGTGGCATGTGTGCCACAGCAGGCTGTTAGTTATCACTGAAAACTCTAAAAGGTTCGCCATCACTGCACTAAGCTGTTTATCCTTCAGTAACTTTTTGCAAATTATTTTTCAATGATCAACCACACAGAAAATAACATCTCCTTTATCAATCAACTCAAGCAAATCTGATATATTTTTTTCTAAATTCTAACTCATTTAGAAATAAATGCCTTGGTCAACAAAGTTTGGGCCATTATTAGAAAATACAAATGACAGAAAAGCTCTTGGAACCCAGGTGTTTTACCTCCAATTGTTCGAGTTAATTAGTAATTCTTAAAAGCCTACATTTCAACAAAAGTAGTCATAATCACAGAGTATTTTTATTCTATTTTGACTGTATGCTATGAGATTGTAAAAAGGTATGAATTGTTTGCTGTGATGTATGCTAAAATAGATTTTAAATAAGGAAGTATTCTGAAGAAAAGGAATCTATTACTTAATAATAATTATTCCTTACACTATTTTTGTTCTACCTATTTTCTTTTGTCTTGTGGAGTGAATATATGTACAAGTACCTTCATGGTACAATAGACAGGAAGATCTTCATTGAATTTACCTGGATGAGGAGGGGAAAAAAAAAATACAGGGCAATGTTGCATATTCAAGGAAATATGCCCTGGAGAGAATGGTATGAGGGCTCTGAACATGTTTTCCCCTTAGGTACTTTTATTCCTCCATGTGATATGACTCTGTTTAAAAATGTTTTCAGTTTTTTTTTTCCACCATAAAACAGAAAAGACTATTTTCCATCTGATGCTCAAGTAAAGAAAGGGAAGCTTGTTTCCAATACTGGGGGAAAAAACTGAGGGAAAGTCTACTGTACCTTTCTAAAGGATTTTTCAAAGTAACTGTGACCATCCCAGTTTGACTTATGTACTGACTTCAAAACTTAAGAAAGATTCTTCTGCTACATTTTTGTTTTTTTCAGTTGTAACAGAAAGTATTACAAATGATTAACTTTTTCAAAGAACCATTCCTCTAAATTCTCTGTCTCACAGAGTTTTGTCTGTTTTGTTTATTTCTGTATTAGGACCTAATTTAATAATGCAGGGCTGGGGATTTAGTTTAGTGGTTCTGATGCCTGCCTTGCAAGTGCAAGGACCCGAGTTTGATCCTCGGTACAAAAAGAAAAAAAAAGGACACACATCTGTCAAAGCCAGGACAATTTCTAATGTATTATTTTAATACATTTAAGACATTATTTAATAAAATCAATCCTATAAAGTTTTTAATCTATGAGAAAAATTTCCCACTTAATGTGCTACAGCAGCACCACACTACACACATGCAAACACAAAGCCTGTTGAGACATTAATCTTACTTTCTGTTCATTAAATTTTTTTCTCAGTCATCTTCTCTGTATACTAGTCATAGCTGCTGATATTTTATTATGTAACTATGATTGGGATGATTCTTGTTAATACAGATATACTTTGTTTTGTTTTGAGATAGGTCTCACTAAGTAGTTCAGGTTGGCTTTGAATCAAACTTGCAGTGATCCTCCTGCCCCAGGCTCCCAAATGCTTGAATTACAGGCACGCACCAGGACACCTACACTTTATTACAGAAACATGAAGACAACTTCGACACAGTTACAGGAATTGTACTATCTCTCTGCTCTAAGAAACAGTGCAGATACATAGTAGCCTTCTCACTTTTCCTTACTAATGGCACTTCAAGTTTAGAACCTTTCTATATGCCGACTTAGAATTTTTTCTTCCAAATTCTTGCATGGTAAGTTCTGTTCCATTAAGTCTTAACTCATAATTCACCTCACAGTGAGGCCCTTGGCTAAAATTTCAGTTCCACTTCGCATGCACATCAAACTACATATTCCCTGTCTCTGTTTCACTGTTAGTATTTACACTAGAATATATATTTTATTTATTTATCTTGCTGTCTTCTTGGTAGAATGCAAACTCCATGAAGCAGGAATTTTGTCTGTTTTATCTCTATTTTCATACTGTAGCACCTAAATTAATATTGGACACAGAATAGGTTCTCAAAAAATCTGTTGAGTGAAGAAGTACATTCATGACAGCCACCATTCAGTCTAAATAAGAGCAACCACTTGTCTGGCTGGATGTAACCTACATTTGAATATTCGTCATTTTTTAAATGAAGACAAAAATCTGAATTTATGTCAATTTCTTAACTTAAAAAAGTTGACTTAAAAAAAAAAGATACTGACCTAGAAAACTCACATTATTAAGCTGTGAAATGTCACTTACGTGTAATATACTCTCTTAAGTCTGTCAATTCTAACCTTGTCAGTCCTGTCTGTCATTCATTAAAAATGATTCTTATATTAGGTCATTCATGAGGTGTGATAAAAATATAGTTTAAATAAAAAATATTGACAACAGTAAAGGACACATGACCATTAGTCTGCCTCAAAGCATTTCACCTTGACTCGAGCACTTACTCATTATTCCTGCCATTTTCTGAAGCAGTTCTAGAAGTTCTTGAATCTTTAGCTGCACTATCATAGCTGCCTTGATGTCCTAAGTCTATTCAAATGTTTATTTTCATGGTCGTTTTGACTGGGAAAGAGCCAGAAGGCACATGTTGCCAGATCTGGTGAATAAGGTAGATGAGGATATACTGTGATAGCTTTACAAACTCTCCCACTGGATGTCATGCAGCAACAGCATTCACTGCATTTTTTATCACACTTTGTAAAAATACCCATGAAAGAGAACTTCCAGAATTGCTTCAGAAAGTGTTAAGAACTATGGGATAAATGTGTTCAAAGTGAGAAGTATTCTGAGGGGGATTAACAGCCATGTGTATTTGTAATACATTAAAAAAAAATTTAACATTCACTATATTTTTAAATCACCACTTGAACTTATGTTATCATTTTCTTTGGAGAAGTCAACATGTACATAAAACTTGAATATATACACAAGGAAAAAAACAACAGAAGAATTACATTTGCTGTGATACTTTGCTTTTGCATTTACTTCTCACCTAATTTTCATAGCATTTGCCACTTTGGTGTCTAGAATTGTATGGCTGAGGTAAAGAGTAAACTAGAAGATTTAAAGAAAGCATGTGAGAACAACTGCAAATTTTTGCCATTTGTTCTTTTCAGTCAATTAACTTATCTTTAAAAGCTGGTAAAAGAGATAATATTGCATTTTGGAATTAAAAAATAATAGCTGAAAGTACAACATCTTATCATCTCACTATAAATAAGCCTTATTTTTGTTAGTGAGAAATGTTGGCTGGCAATGTTTGCCAGACTTGACTCAGTGTATTATAGCTATCTGAGAGTGCTAAGGAGAGCTTTCTCCTAGATTTTAGATGGTTGAGTGCCGGTTTTTTCCTATCTCTGCCTTTTGCTCTCTGTACACCTGCCCTGGTAGTTTAGATCAGGAAAGTGATGCGATTAAACGTTTGAGTTTAAATTGCCAATTCCTGACACAGTAGGCTAACACCTAGCTCATTTATTTATTTTTTAAAATTTTCTAATAGGTAACTCATTTAATGATGTGTGATAGATGACAGTATTTTTCCTTCTTTTAAACACACTATTTTTTCTAATAGATTTTCCCCCTCTTTCTGCCGTTTAGGTCTATCAAAACTGAAGAAGAGCTGCTACCAAAAATGAAAAGTAAGCCTCTACCAGACTCCTGAACTAATTTTGTGCCATATGTTCATAAATCACCATGATAAACATGCTAAATGGTGAAAAGAAATCCTTTCTTCACCTTTAATTTGCTCTGTGATCTCAGCTATCTCACTTCTCTCTTGGCTACAGTTCTTCATTTGTAAAACAGGGTGGTGACTTAGCTTATCCAGTAATAATCTATTACAATTCTAAGTTCAAGATTTATTTTCCATTCTCTATGGATTTAAACTCTGACAGGCATGGAAACACTGAAACATTAACGAGTCAGAATAATAAAACTTCAAATGTCACCTGCCAGGGATTGAATACATTTTCTGCATAACACAGTTTAATCCTTTAAGGGCTGAAGATATGCCAAAGAGCTACAGTAAAAGGAAGAGTTGAATATAATTATAAAAACTGATTTCCTTATATAAAGTCTATGGAATCAGTCATTCATTAAATATGCTGAACATAATGTAATTTCTTCTGCCAGAACAGGATCAACATGAATAGCAAATCACTAAAAGTAAAGTAGACAATGGAGCTGGTATAGAGCACAGCATTAGCAATGGCGTTGAAATTTGATTATCATTATTATTTTGTTTTTTTGGTACCAGTGAATGAACTCGGGTCCTTGTGCTTGCAAGGCAGGCCCCTGAACCGCTGAGCTGAATCCCCGGCCCCTATGATTATTTTTAAAGCAGTTTAGAAATATTACCTGGTGTGTGTGTGTATGTGTGTGTAAGTTTATAATGACATATATTTCTGTGCAAAGGAGGGGGTTGTTTCCCTTTTTTTCTTTAACTGGAGCAGCAGCATACAGGGGGACATGACACTTGGGCAGCTTCACATAGCTGCCTGACTTCAGGAGATGCTTTCTCATACCAAGTGGTTTCCGAAAAGCTTCCAAGAATTTACATTTCCTTTTAACTTGCCATAATATTTGAAAACTCCATTTCTGATTTCTCAAACACTAATAAAGGACATTAGGCACCTCTTGTCATCTTGCATTACTTTTCCATGAATTGTTTTACAAAGTATATGGGGCTTTAATGTCAGGCCTGGATATTAATGCCAGATACCATCTACATTTACTAATTATGATACTTTCCAACAGGCAAGTTACTTAATAATTTAAGTCCCTCTTCTTACTGAAGGACTTAAAAGATGTGGTAGCTGGAGCTCATAATGAGACAATGAATAAAACTACCTACTAATTGGGAAAACCCCCTCTCCCCCTCACAACATCTGCACATAAGGTATAAAAGGAGCAGTTTCGCACAATTTAAAAAACCTTCCCAGTTTCAAGGCAGAGTCTTTTTCTTTATTATCAAATAATGATGGCAATTATGCAAACATGATGTGAGGCCATAATCTTCAAAGCTCTCTTTAATATCTGACTTGAAACAAACTGCAGGCACAAACAATAGCAAAAATTGCATCTTTTAAATTATAGTCATTCTGAAAGCTCTGTATAAGACACTTTTGACAGCTTATTTTTTCATGAAATATATTTTCACATATTAAGGTTTTAGCAGTGTAAGAAAAAATATGAGGCAAGCAAGTAAGGATTAACAAAGCAATACTATGGGGTGAAACATGGTAAAAATATATAGTTTCATCTTATTTCATTTAAAACTTTACTTGGATAAATTAATTGGATTTACTTCAATAAACTAATTTATCTTCAATTACACATAATTTGGTGTCAAACCTAATTTGTCACTAAAGTAAATTTTTACTGGGGAATCAAAATGATATCATCAGTTAGCAACAATTATTATTCTGTTTAATGAAAAGTAAATGAAACCATCAAATGCCAGAGACAAAAGAAACTTTAAGGACTATATGGTTAACATCCTTTTATAGGGTTTGAAAGCTACAGATTCATCAATTTTGAATTAATGCAAGTTTGTGCAAACTTATTCTGCCCAAATTAGGAAAACGTGACTAGCACTTGTTAGAGTACACCTTCTGACCACTGTGCCTGGCCGTACTGTGCAACTCAGAAATTCAAAACTGCACAGAATGGCCTTCGAAAGCCCCACACCTTAGTACAAAATTCCTAGTAAGTCTTCAACAAATATACACGGTTCAGGCAACTGAATTTTTTTTAATGAAAAGTACACTTTAAAAAAATTAATTTCTTAATAATGTATTTGGATTATCAGTCTGTGTTGCATAAATTTGTTTATTTCATATCCTTTTATTGCTGCCATATATATGTATATTTGAAATTTTTATTTAGTATCTGCATTTCTTGTTGTCATATATGTTTGTAATCTTTAATAAAAAAAAATTTCCAAAAAAATTCATTCTGAAGTTGATCAAGAACAAAGCTGGCATGCTGCCTTGAAGCAGCATCTACGAAAGTTATGGATCCATAATTTTGAGGGAGTTGGAGGGCTTAACATCTTGAGCCCAGTGATTCTCAAAGAATGGTCTCCAGATAAGCAGCGCCATCACCCTAAACCCTGCAAAAGTGAAATTCTTAGTCCCCACTTCAGAGCTATTAGACACTTGAGGATGAAGCCCAAAAATCTGTGTTTTAACTAGACCTCTGTGTGATTCTGCTGCAAACTAAATTTAAGAACCACTGGTTTAGCTCATCAGGAAGCAAAGCAGATTTTTAGGACAAAGACAGTCTGTATAAATTTCTCTGGAGTACATTTTGGAGTATATTTTGAGATTTGCCTCTTAGAAATGTGCATATAGGGCTTGGGATTTAGCTTAGCAGTTTGGTGGCCTGCCTTGCAAGCGCAAGGACCCGAGTTCAATTCCCAGTACCACAAAAAAAAAAAAAAAAAATGTGCATATAGAAAATGAATAGAAATTAAAATACTCTAAATGTAGGCATGTCTATATGACAACAGTGTTGCCTATATTGTTATATACAGTATATGTATAATACAAATTACAAAAAATTATATATTTATATTGATATGTTACTTTTTATGGTAGTAAAAAATGTAATAGTGGCATTACTTATATGTGTAAAAATTTTATAGCTGTATTTGTTTCCAACTCACTTTCATTTTCTGATAAACTTTGTCACTAATGTTATGAAGAAATCATACTAGGAATTATTATCCTATTTGGTAGGTAAGAAAATTGAGGCTTAATGCGGATAAGCATTTTTTTTTTAAAGTACACATAGCTAATAAATAGCTGGAGTTCAAACGCAAGATTTCTGAGGTGAAGAGCAAGACTTTTGCCCTATATCATTTAGTACCATATTATCACTAATTTTTATATAACTATAAAAAGCATTATAAGAATAAAATATTCAAAGATACTTTTATTCTAAACTACAAAATCAACAGACACACATTAATTTTTTCATAAACATTTATCTGCCCTTTGAATTTAGCAGGTAGCCTATAGATAATTTTTAAAAAACAAGAGTACAAATCTTTGCACTTTTCCATATTTCTGTGTGTCTTGAATACAGCAAAGATAGTAACAAGCAGGGGTTGTAGTCCAAAAGAACGTGTAGAGTATAAATATACAAAACATCACTGAAAAAAATAGGTATAAATGTCAGGCTATTTTTATAATAGACATACCATTCCTTTATCATCTCAATGCTTAAATGGTTCTCCAAAAAAAAGCTAGCTTCTGAAAATACCCTTTGATAGAAAAGTCTAGCAAGAAACACACTTGGCAATTAGCTGACTCAGGAGAGCTAATTTAGCTAATCTTAAAATGAAACACATAGTAATATATTCATTCTCAGTGATTCTTAAGTTTCTTCTCTTAGAAATAACCTTCATATGGTCTAAGGACTTTCTATTCTGCTCTGTAAAGGTGACAGAGCTTATTAAAATGATTATTGAATCCAACCTAAAGTTGACTTTTTTATTATGGCCCACTGTGTATTTTGCAATGGAAATAATGTTTAACAGAGGCCATTCACAAAATAGTTTGAGATTCTTACAATGTAGGTTAATTCGTATTTAGAACTAGAAAGAATACATGCCCTCTAGGAACTAGCCTTCTTTTGTTCAAAATTTGAAAACAGGTCTGAGGACATAGATCAGGGGTAAAGCATTTGCCTAACATATTTAAGGCCTAAGTTCAATTCCCATCATTATCAAAAAAATAAGAAAGCTGTATGTATCAGCAAAATTCACACACTGCACTAGGGCTTACCTTGAAGATTTTCTTAATGTTATTATAATATTCTAATAGTGTTTTTCTTAGATAGGCAAGAGGAATAAAAAAAAAAGAAATGAGATGTTTCTAAATGTCTATCAACAAAAGGTTTATTAAATAAAATGAAGATATACTCATTCAACAGAATATGTATTCCACTCTTTAGTATTAATATGGAATGACTTAAGATTAAGTACAAAACAAAGCAAGATGCAGGATAGTACATTTACCTTCCTAAAGAGAGAGCTCTTAATATATGTAATTGCTTGCAAATATGGAGACAAAATCCAGAACACTATGTAAGAAACTGGTAACACTGTGTCCAGAAAAGAGAAATGGGCACTTAGGAGACTTTTCTCTGAACATTATCTTTACTTTTCGAATTACGTACAATGTCCAAATATTATGTATTCAAGAAAGAAAAAAATATATTTTTTTGATATTCTCTGTGTTGTATGGCTAACATAACTTTCTAAACTCATTAATTCTTTCCTGGCATTATGTTATAAATATATGATAATATATTTCCAAATCAAATCAATACTCATTTAGAAGTAGGTGCCAAAGCTGCTTGACTTCTCTATGCTTTTATTTATGACAGCCTTTAAAGGAATATTAAAATGAGATTGCCTGAAGATTCCAAAACTGTTAAGGGGACAGAAATCCAGAGAGCAGATCTCTATAGATCTAAAATTCCTTCCAAAAGAGACTATAAAAGAAATCTAGTGTTCTTGATAATATTTTTTCTTATTTAAATGTTTTATCTGTATGTACATGTACTAACTTCCTATGATAAATCTAACCATTATATACAGCAAACATGTACTAATGAAAAAAATACCATGAAAAAAAACCCTATCTTTCAGAGTAGAGATTTTGTATCATCTTTAATATTCACGTTCTAAATGACTACTAAGGCTTAGTACTTCACTATGCAAATATTAGAATATACAGATATATTTTATAACATTTCACAGAATAAATGTATATACGTATATTCTTTTTCATGAAGAGAAAAAACAAGAGAATGAAACTGAAACAAATATTCACATTCCTACCTTTAAAAATCTGTCATTGGTCAGTAGTGCAACTTGCTTTTCTGAGGCTTGTTTTTCAACATACCTAAAAGTTTTACCATCCACATACACAAAAAAGAATATTAAACATTTGCACTAACATATTGAGAAAAATAACTATCTAGATTGATGGTCACATTTTTTTCACATCTTTCTCAATAATGAACTCAAGGTGATAGTTCTGGCCTAATATATCATCTATATATAATAGTCTAATTATAAACAAAGGCCATATATCCCAGAAAATAATTATTTCTGCAAATAACTGGAGAACTTGCAAATTGTCCCTGTGTAAAAATATTTTCTTTATGGTAAATTCTAAACAACAAAGAAACCCTACCATTTAAAAAAGAATATATTGCTATAAACAAAAGCAAAAAAAAACCTATTCTATTCCTCACTTCAAAAACAACTGTATCTGGCCGGGTGTGGTGGCGCACGGCTGTAATCCCAGCACTTGGGAGGCTGAGGCAGGAGGATTGCTGCAGTTTGAGACCAGCCTGGGCTACATAGTGAGTTCCAGGGCAGTCTCAACTACATAATGAGACCCTGTCTCAAAAAGCCAAAAAGCCAAAAAGCCAAAAAGCCAAAAAAAAAAA